GAGGTGGGCTTTGAGGTTTCAAAAGCCCATTCCAAAACCAGAGTCTCCCTCTTCCTGTTGCCTGCAGATCTAAATGTAGAACTGTCAGCTACTTCTCCAGCACCATGTCTGCCTGTGTGCCACCATGCTTCCTGCCATGATGACAATAGACTAACCCTCTGAAACTGTAAGTGAGCCCCAATTAAACATTTTCCTTTATAAAAGTTACCATGGTCATAGTATATCTTCACAGCAATAGAACACTGACTCAGACAGTTGGGAAGGAGAAATAATTGGGAAAGAGAGAGCAGTTTAGAGGGTCAAGATAGAATCCATTAAGACAAAGAGACAAAAGGACAGTTTCAAAGGATCAAAGGAGCCCCAGTCAGTTCCACCATTACTAACTACAAAAAGTTAGTTACAGACATCAACAGGACACAAGGCCCTTCTATGGGCTAGCAATACCAGGAAGCCAGGACCATTGGCTGCCATCTAGGAGGCCCATTATCATATCTATGCCTGTTTGAATCCATTTAAAATAAGCTTTTTGTGTGTACACATGTGTTTGGAAGTATGGATGTACTTGCCCACATATGCATGTGTAGTTGTCAGAGATTGATATTGGCATCTTCATTAGTTACTTTTCACCTGAATTTTAATTTTTTAAAATTACACTTTATTTGGTGTGTGTGGTGTGTGTGTTTGTGTATGTGTGTGTATGACACCGCCGTTGCACACATGTGGAAAGAAGAGGAAAATTTGCCAGAGTCAATTCTTTTCTTCTACCATGTGGATTGCAGGTGTGATAGCTATTCTTGGTTGTCAACTTGATTGTATCTGGATGAACTACAGTACAGAAATGGAGGACACACCTGTGATCCAGATCTTGAGGGAGGAAGACAACATGTCATTGGTCTGGATCTTGAGGCTATAAGATAGGAATCTTGAGGTAGGATGACACAATCCTTTACTACAGATCTCGAGGTGGGAAGACACACCTCTAATCTGAACCACATATTATATATGTATAAAGACATGGAAGAAGGAAGGTTCTCTTCATCTTTGACTGCTTGTCCTCCCCTTGCCAGCACATCCATTCCTTCACCTGAATTGTAGCCTACTTCTTTTGGGATTCCAGCATATACCGAAGACCAGCTGTTGTAGGAGGTCCTTCTGTCTTTGTGTTGCTTTCATTGGTTAATAAAGAACCTGCTTTAGGCCTGTTGATAGGGCAGAAAATTAAACAGAATGCTGGGAGAAAGAAGGCAGAGTCAGAGAGATGCCATGGATCTGCTGGAGACAGATGCTGGAAATTTTACCGGGTAAGCCACTGCCACATGGTAATACATAGATTAACAGAAATGGGTTAAATTAAGATGTAAGAGTTAACCAATAAGAAACTAGAGTTAATGGGCCAAGCAGTGATTTAATTAATACAGTTTTTGTATGGTTATTTCAGGGCTAAGTTAGCCGGGTGGCTGAGACAAACAAGCGGGCTCTCCCTGCAACAACCAGCTAAGACACCCAGTCTCCTGGGACTGAGCAACTACTAGAGTCTTGGACTTTGCATTCACAGATAGCTGTTGTTGAGCTGAAGCCTGTAAGTCATCCCAGTACATTCCCTTTATACATACTTACACACATACTTACATACATACATACAGAGAGAGAGAGAGAGAGAGAGAGAGAGAGAGAGAGAGAGAATTTGTTCCTAAGTTCTGTGACTCTAGAGAACCCTGACTAATATCAAACTCAGGTCATTGAACTTGGGAGCAAGCACTCTACCCACTGAGTCATCTTGAAAAACCTAATGTTTTCTATTATAGTGTAAACTAGCTTTTATCTATGGTAAAATAAGACTTATTTTTACCTGGTTTTCTTTGGACAGGAGTCAACATTCTTTTCAAAGAGGTTTTCAATTATTTTGAAATGCTCAATACTATTAAAGGATACAGGAAACTGGTTTATTACCAAGAAGTTGTGCTTTCTTTCTTGGTAATTTCAAATAAGGACCAGTTATGATGTTAGCAAGAAACAAATTCTCTTCTAAAGGCATAGCCATGGAGATTCAGGAAGAAGGAAGGCTGAACAGTCAGATGCAAAGAATGACCAGTGCTTATGATAACACTTTTACCATTGCTCACTATGAGTTCCAAGCATGCATGTGTTGCCCAGGGTGGCCTCATATTTACTATCCTCTTGCCTCTGTCCCAAATGCTAGAATTATACATATACTATAACACCTGGCTCAGTGTAGTTTTAGTTTAAAAATCTATGTGTTATGTAAATGTTTTCTGTAGTGGTCTGAAGAGGTATGGCCCACATAAACTCATGATTTGAATGCTTGGCCCAAAGAGAGTGGCACTATTAGGAGGTGTGACCTTGTTGGAGTAGGTGTAGCCTTGTGGGAGGAAGTGTGTCACTGTAGAGATGGGCTTTGAGGTCTTACATTCTCCAAGTACATTCAGTGTGACACTCAGACTCCTTCCTGCCACCTGCAGATCAAGATGTAGAATGCTCAGCTCCTTCTCCAGCACCATGTCTGCCTGCATGCTGCCATGCTTCTCACCATGACAATAACTGACTAGGCCTCTGATAAGCCAGCCCCAATTACATGTTTTCCTTTATAAGAGCTGCTATGGTCACGGTGTTTCTTCACAGCAATAGAAACCCTTACTAAGGCATGCATATTCCCTCATCTGAGAACTGGTGGCAATGCTGGATTCCCTTCTATATTTTTGTTTTCGGTTTAGCCTGTATTAAATGCTATCGTGATTGTATTGTTTTGTTCTGTTTTAAAACAGACAAGCAAGCAAAGGCCCTAGGTTCAACCCCAGGACCACAAAAACAAGTAAGTAAAACAAAATAAAAGCAAGAGAAAACACAAAAACGTTAAAAGGCATTTTCACAAAATAAGAATATCTTGTAATATTTAAATTATTACTAGCAGCCAAAATTCTTAAAGTCCTTAAAACAGTACAACCCAATATGGTAGCCACTAACTAAATATAGTTGTTAAGTATTTAAAGGTGTACCTCACCAGATCCAATTGAAAGGAGACTCAAGTACACACTGGACTACTCAGACTTAGCATGAGAAATGGGATTCGTGATTTTTAGTAAGAATCAAATGCATTTATAATTTCCATATCAATTTTATGATGAAATAATAATGTTTCTGATACACTAGGTTAAGTATATTACAATTTGTTTCATACATTTTAAAGAAAGCTTTTTTTTTTTAACAGTGGTGGAATCAAACTCAGGGCCTGGTGCATGTGAGGCAAGCATTCACCCACTGAGTTCCACCCCAGCTCTAAAAGCTTTGAATATGCAGCATTGCCAGGTAGAGCCTAGGACACCTGCTGACAACTCAGTTTCACCTAGCCCTCCCTGCAGGGCACATAATTATAATTAAAATTGCTTCTTCTTTATCTAAAATTTGAATTTAACCAGGTAGATTTTTCAGTTATTAAATCTGAAAATTGTATTAATATGGTTAATTTTAATTGCAATGGTTAATATTGTCAACCATACGGCATCTAGAATCACCTAAGAGAGACACCTCTAGGCATACCTGTAAGGAAGTTTCTAGACTGGGTTAGCTGAGCCAGAAAGACGAACCTTAACTGTGGGCAGCATCCATTCCATGACCTGAGGTCCAGGACCATTTAGGAAGACCTATCTCAAAAAAATAAGTATAATAAAATTACAAATGGAACGTCTCATTTTATTAGGCAATGTTGCTTTAGAATCACACGGTTGCTGTTTTATGCCTTTATTATTAGAATACATTACTTAGACAAAATATTGGGTCTCATGGTAAGGTTTTGTGTTTGTTTATTTTGAAATAAGAGTTTCACTATGTAGCCCTGGCTGGCCTGAGAAGGCGTCTGCTACAAACCCAGGCAGGTTTTTGATGTTGTTGCTGTATGTTTTGTTTTTGTTTTAACTAATTGGTTCCTGAGTTAACAGTAAAGATTACAAATCTGAGAATCCGAGACTAAGCTCATTAATCTTGAAGTTAAATTTTTTTCCCATTCCTTAAATCAACTGAGAAACAACCAAATTATTTAAGAACACAAAACAGGGTGGGAGTCTGGGAATTAAAATTCATTGCGCCCTTTCTCATGGCCAGTTCCAAAATCCATCCCTTTTTAATATACATACTACTATTATTTTATTTTTATGTGTTTTGCCTGCAAGTCTGTCTCGTCCATGCACCAATTACATGTCTGTTGCCATGGGAGCTGCCCTAAGCCTGTTGGGAAGAGAGCCCAGGTCGTCTGGAGAAACAATCTGGGCACACACACACACACACACACCCCAGAAAGGGGTGTAACCCTGGTTGTCCTGGAACTCTGTAGACCAGACTAGCCTCTCAAACTCAGGGATCTGCTTGCCTCTGCCTCACAAGTGCTGGAATTAAAGGCAGGCACCCTCATTCCAGGTTGCAACCTGGGCTCTTAAATACTGAGCTATCTCCGCAGCCCCCAAAGACGCGGCTCTTTTCAGGAAAAACTGGGACAAAGGCGGTTGTCAATTCTCAGATGATCACAATACCTTCTGACCCACAACAAAAAGTTGAGAGCTTAGGCGACTCCACCCTTAAATTCTAAGACTCTCTCCAGTGAATGCCCAGGTTGGCCATGAAAAAAAAAAGGCCTTCAGAGTCACCCTTTCCCAAAGTAACCCAGGGAACCTAGTCCCTGTCATTACCTCAGGAGACCCTTACCCAGCCCCTACAAGCCAACCTGCTCGGGGCGTGGTCCACAAACGCCCCGCCCCAAGACCCGAAGCCAAACAGTCTGGGCGGAATTAGAAGACACCACCCCAGCCAGGCCCCAAACCGAGACCAGCGGAGGGGGCGGGGCCATATTAGGCCACACCTTCCCGCTTTCCCACTACGGAAGCCAGGCTCAGCCCCGCCTTCGGCACCGCCCGGCCAGTTCGGAGTCCTTGCTCGGCTCCGCCTCAGGCGCACGCGCGGCCGGCGCCCACCTTGCGTCACTCAGCCCCCTGCCCCGCCCCCGCCGCACCGTGCCTCCGAGCCGGGACGGCGGGGCGGGCCTTGCGGCCCAGGCCCAGAGCCCGCCCCGGCCTCAGGCCCCATGTAAAGTTGGCGGTGGCCAAGTCTGAGGCAACGGGGGAACTCACGAGTCTGTTCCTTGCTCACTCGCAGACACCCGCAGCGCCCGGTCTCCTGCACCGCGGTGTCCCCAGGTCCCCAGCCGGGCGCCGTGGGCTGCTGAGGACAGCATGCGGGACTACGACGAGGTGACCGCCTTCTTGGGAGACTGGGGACCCTTCCAACGCCTCATCTTCTTCCTCCTCAGCGCCAGCATCATCCCCAATGGCTTCAATGGGATGTCAATCGTGTTCCTGGCGGGGACCCCGGAGCACCGTTGCCTTGTGCCTGACACCGTGAACCTTAGCAGCGCGTGGCGCAACCACAGTATCCCGTTGGAGACGAAGGACGGACGACAGGTGCCTCAGAGCTGTCGCCGCTACCGACTGGCTACTATCGCCAACTTCTCCGCGCTAGGACTGGAGCCGGGACTGGACGTGGACCTGGAGCAGCTGGAGCAGGAGAGCTGCCTGGATGGCTGGGAGTACAGCAAGGACATCTTCCTGACTACCATCGTGACCGAGGTAGGTGGCAGGTTCTTGTCAGCATCTGGTGATAAACGCGGGCGACGGTTGTAGTCCTTCGTCCAAGGAACAGGCTACCTGGTGATGGGCATCCTCCAGTCAGGACGCCCAGGAACACAGATTTATGAAATGACTTCTAGCCACGATATGTCCCTCAGAGCACAAGTGTCAGGCTGGCCATCCGTCCTTAGAGCCACATTGAAGATGAAGTCCAGAAGGTCCTGCTTCTAGAAGCCCTAAGGCTCTGAGTGGTGCGACTTTGTCTAGTGATGTGATCCAGAGGAGCCTAGGACTTGGTCCAGGGAAGTGCCTCCGTCTCAGCGTCTGTGTTCAGAAAGGGATGCTCAGCAGAACTTTTCTAAGTTAAGGAAGCATGTGTCCCAAACTCTCTTCCTTTTCTCTAGTTACTCTCCTTCCTTCACCCATCCTCACCCCAAATGAAGTCTCATCCTGCCCCATGAGAAACGCCCCATGAGAAACGCCTCATGAGAGATGCCCCTTGATACCTCATGAAAGAGGAAAGATGCCCTATGAGAAATTGTTTTGTTTCGCTTCAGTGGATTGTTATTTCTTAAGGACCCCTGGGTCTGAAGATCTATTCAGGGTGACTTTATTTGGAGTCTTTTCCACAGTATTCTGAGACAAGAGCGCTGGTGGGGTTTAATTATGGCATGTAGCCTTCTTGTGGAGAATGATGGAAACCTAAATCCTCATCCCCTTGCTCTTTATTCTTCGGTGACTCTGTCTTACCCATTGGAGTCTCTAAGCTGGAGTTGTGAAAGCTGTTTAATGGTGCATGTGGATGTGTTTTGGAGACTTAGGCACCAATTGTCATTTCCTGGGCTCTCAGCAGTACTAAGTATGCAGAACAATGAAAGAGCCCTATGTGATACCGTTGGGCATCAGGGTCAGTGAATGTCAGGGATAGGGATTGATCAGTTAGGCCTCCTGGAGGAGATAACTTCTTGGTGAACCTAGCCATTAGGTCCAGATCCAAGAGCAAGAAATGGTTACAGGAGGATGTATAGCAATAGCAATAAGGAGAAGCTAGGGGTCCATGTATGGCATCTAAGCCTCCTGGAGGCCGGAGACTGATCTTCCCTCCTTGTGGAGGCTCCCAGGTATGTTGCTTCAGGGGGTTGTGACCCTTCAAGGGTAGAGTCTGAGAGCATCCCTGCAAAAATCAGTGCCTGATTTCTTTGAAAGGTTGAGAGTTGATGTCTCCAAAACCTGTGCCAAACCTGCTACCTAAGTAAGTAGTTAGAGTTAGAGTAAAAGCTAGCCGGGCCGTGGTGGCACATGTCTTTAATCTTAGCACTCGGGAGGCAGAGGCAGGTGGATCTCTGTGAGTTCCAGGCCAGCCTGGTCTACACAATGAGTTCCAGGCCAGCCTGGTCTACACAGTGAGTCCCAGGACATCCAGGCCTACACAAAGCAAAAACAAAACAAAAAGCCAGTACTGACTAAGTTGATTAGTGCTTTTGATCTATGAGTCCACAGAGAAGAGATTCTCAGTTGCTCCACATCCTGGTCTCCAAACTCACAGTGCGTGGAAGCAAGTGGGATCTGACAGAGGCTACTGGGTGACACCCATTCCTCAGATCTGTTTCTGGCTGCCCAGAGATGGGCAGTTGAAATCTGAAGGGACTTACTGACATCTCTTGAACTTTTACCCTGACCTTGAGGGTACTGGGTCACTTGTGTCACTTGCCCTCACTCACTGTCACGCTGCTTGCTGCCTAGGGTGGACGCAGTACTGGTGAGCTCCCCAGAGGAAAACTAAGCAGCAAAAGTCCAGATCCTTTTGACCTACCGCTGCTGCCAATGTCATCGTGTCTTTTTTTTTCCCCAATGGATCTGGATGTTATTGAGCTGTCTTAGCAGTTTCATAAGAGCTGTATGCCCTTTCACCTACTTACAGGTCAGCAGTCTTTGCGGGAGGCGAGTTTAATACTTTACTTAGCTCTTTTGTTTGGGAATACTGGAATGCCTGACTTGAAGTTCAAGGCTTGTGCTCTTAGATGAGCAACTGCTGTTGAAAGCTGCTGCTTTAACATTCTGATGACTTTTTCCAAGACCTGATCTCTTTTAACCCACACCTAACCTGCTGACCACAGCAGCTAGTCAGTCCCCTGCCTGCTAAATGTCTCTAAGCCTGCCCTCTATCCCAAATTAAAGTAGAGGTTAGAGGTCTTTTAAGTACACTGGTTTTGAACAATTCTTCTTCTTCTTCTTCTTCTTCTTCTTCTTCTTCTTCTTCTTCCTCTTCCTCCTCCTCCTCTTCCTTCTCCTCTTTCTATTCCTCTTCTTTCACTTTCAAGTTAAATTACATGCATGAAGTACTAAACTTTGCAATAGATTAAGATTTCTGTGTCTCCCTGAATCTTGACAGGATGCTAGATGAGGGAGATTTTTATTTTTTGGTTTTTCTGTGGGTTTTTCACAAGGTTTCTCTGTGGCTTTGGAGCTTGTCCTGGAACTAACTAACTCTTGTAGATTAGGCTGGCCTCTAACTCACAGAGATATGCCTTCTCTGCCTCCCAAGTGCTGGGATTAAAGGCGTGTGTCATCACTGCCCAGCTTGAGGGAGATTTTTTTTTATTGAAATTGGGTGATTGGGAAAATAATTTATGAGCCTTTCTAGAAGGTTTAAGAACTAACTGATAGACAAAAGAGAAACTTGAGGAGCCACAGACTGACTGGAATGCTTTAAGGGAAATGTGATTCTCCCCCCCCCCCCCCACACACACACACACTGACTGGAGCTAGGTTCTGTGTATATTGAAAACCAGGCGGTGGGGTTGGCCAAAAGAAAGAAATCCTTTCTATGAGGTCAGAGAGCTTTGTGCGCCCACATTTCAGGAAAGCTCAGTGAGCTACATGCTTGTAGGCTGGCCCCTCTTCCTGCCCCTCACTCATCTCTGGGACACTTGGCAACTCCTACCCACCATGCTGTACTTCTGATCCAGGACTACCCCTTCTTCTGAGAACCTGTCTGTTTTTTACAGTGCCACCTGCTCTGTGGTTTCACAGAAACCCTGCCAAGCCTGCAGGCAGAAACATTTCTGTATGGCTTTCTGGTGCCTATGAGTTCAGGTTCCTTCAGCTGAAGTCTGGCATGGCTCTGCATTGTCCTACACCATACCCATCTCTGCTTTCCATGAGTCTCTTGCCAAGGCATCAGCAGGACTCCAACTTGTTCTCTGGTGTTCCAGACTAGCTTTTCCAGCAGTCTTGCCTCTTGCCTAGGTCATCTTGGAAAATGGGAATTCTTCCCATCATTATCCACAACTCACTGGATGAGAACTCCTAGCACCCTAGTTGGTGGGTTTGGCATGAGTCTGAAAATAGAGACCAGAGAACCTTGGAGCCAGGACCTTACTGCTTACCTGTGTTAGCCACCCCCTTGCCCACGCCCTGCCCACTTCTGAGATCCACAGACACTAATCTTTGCCTTGGTAGCTACATAGCAAACCAAAGCCACTTGCTGGCCCTAATTTCTTGTGCACACACAGCCATAGTAGACACAGCTCATGGGAGCAGTCACACTGAGCCCTCTCTTACTGAGAACCAGCACTCTGGGTCAGGGTTCAATAATGACACAGGAGTCATAGAGCAAAGAAAAGAAATTCATCCTACAGATGAGCACCTACAGTCTGGTGCTCATCTGGACTCTGCGCAGATGGGCAAACACTGTAAAGGAAATGATGGTGTTTAAGGGCAGTGGCCCTTTTATTCATTGAGCCACTCAGCCATGTATCATTTAGTTCCCAGGTCATTGCTCTGTTCAGGGCACGGTGGGCATGACAGAGGTTGTTAGAGCAGGTACTACTTCTCTTTCCTGAAAGCCCTGAAGCAAGGGTCCACTATAATTTCTTCTTCAATTTTATTTTGTGAAATTGAGTCTTGCTAAGGTGACTAGGCTGACTACAAGTGATCTTTCTGCTTCAGATTCCTGATTGTTGGGATTATAAACTCTCACCATTAATTGTAATAGGATTTACTATTAATTGTAGTGGGGGCAGAACACAATGTTTTAGGGATTAATGAGTGTCAATAGGAAGTGAGACCTGCTAGTGTGCTTGGTCACTGATGCAGACATACTAGGTACATCTCAGGGAGACTTGTATCTCTTGGACAGAGATCCTATCACTTTTCTCTTCCAGCTGGTTCATGGGTGCAAGAACATTTAGTCCCAGAAGACTGTATCCTCCCTCCCCCACTCACCGTAGTAAAAGGAGCCGTTTCCCCGCTCCAGGCTGCCTGGCTTGCTTATATCCCGCAATAACAACAAACAAATTATATTCATTTAAACATGCCTGGCCCATGATTTCTAGCCTCATATTGGCTAACTCTCACATCTTAATTAACCCATTTCTATTACTGTGTATTGCCACCTGACTGTGGCTTACCGGCATAAGTCTAACCAGAGTCCGTCTTGGAAAGGAGAGCCATGGTGTCTGCCACACTGCCTTCTTCCTCCCAGAATTCTGTTCTGTCTGCCCCGCCTACCTATGTTCTGACCTATCAGGCCAAGCAGTTTTCTTTGTTAATTAACCAATGAAATAGAAGGGGGAGGACCTTGGACTTCCCACAGGGCAGGTAATCCTTACTGCTCTTCAGACTCTCGAGAGGGAGGGGGAATGAAGTAGGGAGAGGGGGAGGGGAGAGGGAGAGGGGGAAAGGAGTGGGAGGAGAGGGAGGGAAATGGGAAACAGGGAGGAGGCGGAAATTTCTTTCAACAAAAAAAATAAATTAATTAAAAAAAATTAACCAATGAAAGCACAGATAGATAGAAGATCCTCTTACACCATTTCCCCTTTTTCTGTTTAAACAAAAAAAAATGCTTTAAGTTTAACATATTAAAATTACATATAGCAAAACAGTTATAAAGAATTACAGTTACAATATTTATATCTATTTTATCTTTTATTCTAACAATTGAAAACTATAACCATCTATCTATTCTTCAACTCCATCAAAGACTCCAGAAGGGCATA